TTTATTACATAGGCTGGAAAATAGATCAGATATTTAATCTGTGTCCTGCACAACTTCCCACCCCAACCAGAGTTTAAGGCATGCAGTGTGGAAAAAGGCCATTCGGCTATCAAGCCCACTTTTTTCCACGGATCATGGAAAACCTGCCCTATGAAGGGCACACCCTCCCACTGCAGAGGGAATGTTCTGCAGACACGCTCCCTTATCCCTGAAGGTCATCAAGCTGAACCACCAGAATAATCATCTGCTCAGGGAAATCCATTCCAGTATCCTGGCTTCCTTCCCACACAGGTGACAACATCCCATCCCCACCAGTCCCAGCAGCACAGATTATTGTGTCTCATGGAATATTAATTCATCTCATTCTGCACTTATCCAATCCAGTTCCCAACCAATTACTTTGTCTTTGAAAGTCTTAATCTGTCACAGAATCAGTTGTTATTGTTGGTTGTCTCTTCCACAACTTTGGAAACACAGTGTTTCATCTATTCTGTTTTGACAATCCAAATCAAGTAGCCTCCGTCTGATCTATGACTCTCATCAGTTTGAAAACCTGGATAATGTCCCTCTCAATCTCTATTTCTAATGAAAGCCAGGCTGAGAGGGTTGACAGCTCTGTGCTTATTACTGTACCCAGCACAGATACACAGAATATATCTTTAAGGGATGAATAAAACTATGGGTAGGATAACAACGCAACATAAATCTAATTTACTACAAAAAACAGCTGCACCCTGTTACATGGAAACAGCAGGAAACAATGAATTTAGCTGACTGTAAACAGGGTGTAAGGAGAGCTTTAAAATCGGAACCAGCTACATTGCAATTCATTCCTCGCCAATGTAATCCAAATTATATCATTGCAGAAAATATGTTAGAAAAGTTCCTCTTTGTCTGGCTNAAAAAATGTAAAAGAGAAAGGCTGCAGACAAAATGTAGGGAACAGGACTTTAGGAATAATATGCTTATGTCAGTAAATACAGCAGATGGTTGAGGGTTTAAGTCCCAGTGGTGCCTAGCATAGTTGAGATGAGTTTGTGAGTTCTCTGCTGGACTCCCAGGTTGAAAACCTTTTGGAAGCAAAATGTATCACATGGGGGAAGCGGGAGTAAGAGATAGAACAAAGAGACAATCGTTCATCTCAACAGATCCCTGCTGTCTGATCATGGAGCAGGAGAGATCATGGAGACGTCTACATCCTGGACAAGCTCCCACCCTCCCAGAGGAAGTGTGTGGAGGAGAGAAATCCCAAGGACAGCATGAGGTGGGGTGGGGGGAGGTGTTCAACATGACAAATCGCTGCATGTCATGTTTAATGTGTAAAAAGCATCAATTTAGAGTTTTATAGGCAAACCAACTTATCATTGTCCCAAATCAAATGGAAATAAGATTTTTCTGAGGTATATTTAAATGATTGACAAATGAGCCTCGTACATATTTTTCCAGCAAGGATATTTTCAAAAGGAAATAAAGGTGGTTATCATGCTCCATGTGCTCCATGTAGCAAATGTGCAGCTGAGAACAAAGTTTTATACTGCTTTATTCGGTTATGTTCGCAAAAGTGTCCCTGTGCAATTGTAATCCGGCAAATAACTTGACTTGATTTATTAATGTTAAAATTGCATTAGATATTCACCAGGCACAGGATAAGTGGCAAATCTTACTGAATGGAGCAGCACACTGCAAGTCAACAAATTTGTTACATGGAACGTAAGGAACAGAAGCAGCCCCTAAGAGTACAATCAGCAAATTCGATGTCTAGTTTAGTGAAAAACTGATGAAGAAAAATCTATGGAGAGGGTGCAATATCACCGGTGACAATTATCACATCACACACTTCATTTCCCATTCCCCCTGCTTTTTCGCTGCTAATTGTCTCCCATCCACTCGACATTTTGCTCACTGGCCAACTTGGACTTTGCAACTTGGATGTGCGATTTGACGGACTCGAATTTTACAATTCAACAATTACAAACTGATAGCCAAAGTTAATAAGGTACTGTATTGGGAATCTAGTTCTGAATGGCATTACTTATTTGAACTTCTGGAGTCAACTGTGGAAGTAGATTGTGAGAGCAAAGTTCCCACCTTTCCTTCTGAAACATTATTCCAGTTAATGAAAGGAACCCCATTAACACAACTTGGATTTACTATTAAGGTATCGCATTAAGAAATACCGTAAAATAGATCTTTTCCAAATACTGGAAATCAACCAGCACGTGAACCAGGAACTGCATTATATAAAGCACCAGTGTTACGCAAACAGCACGTGGAAATGTATTTACAAGATACAACATCTCAGAATGTATCCTCCCAGGAATAAGGGAATTTTCATTATAAAATTCAACAATATGAGCCACTGGTACAGGACAGTAATGGCTTCACCAGACATTGTGTAGCAGCACTTTAAGAGCTGAATGCTCCCGAATGCTCTGTCAACAGAAAAGGAATCCTCAACACTTCTGATAAATACAGCAGATATTTCATCATCTGCTACCTGAACACCCCATGCACAGCTGCGATGACACCTTCAGTTGTCAAACGCACACACGTTCCACAGAGGAGCAACAAAGACCAATTCCAGTACTTCATGATAAACTATCACAATTCATTGCCACAGAATTCGAGCTGTTCTTTTAAAATCCTAAACTAGGTCAAATGTGAAGCCTGCTATTTTCTCTCTGGATTGCTGCCACTGATCTCTCCCAGCTGACTAGCCGGTCAGTGTCCAGAGTCATATACAGTTCAGATATTGTTTTAACTTTGGACTCACAGGAGAAGAAATATGTGAATCTTTTGGCCAACCATCAGGCCGCTGCAGCTGCACTACGTGGTTTTGGCACAGCTTACCGGTCATTTACACATGTGCTTTGCTCTAGGTGAGTTGCTGGGTTCCTCTGGAGTAGAATCCCAGTTTAGGAATGCTGCACAATCTACAGGAGTACAAATATTCCCCACAACCCTGCTGTCGATCATTGTCCTTTGTTTCCGGGGGTGTGGTGGGAAAGGGGAGGGAGGTAAGGGGGGATGGTGGTAGGGGGTAGGGGTGGTGGGGGGAGGCTAAACCATTGGTGCTTGATCATGGTTTTCAATTGTGCACTTCAAGCAGTACAGCTCACTCGAGGTGTGTCTCTGGTAAAAGGGAATGCATCTGTGCCAACTTACAACTCCCTCCCTGAATGCAACCAGGAGCAGAGTAAAGGGTAATTGTTCGCTCCTATCCTCCACAGCATCGACTTTTCATCTGTCGTTAAAGAGATATTGATGATTATCATGCCAATCATAAAAAGAATCAAACAATTTGTTGGGTGTTTCAAGCAGCCAGTATTGAGTATAATGGGATCCCATTATAGAGCTGCAGCAAACAAAATTAATACTTTTAAAGTAACCTCCATTGTAATCGTGGAGAAATGTTTGCAAAATCTATTTTTTTTCTGTTGTTTAGCGGCACATGGACAACTGGATGCTAATCACAAAACATGTCAAGCAAGACTCTTCTGCAATTGCTAAGTGTCTGATTTCGATTTGTACTGAGGATGATAGAATTGTTTTTTAATGCCTGCAGCACTAAAGTCAAGTTTACCTACAGATACATAGTCACTACTCTGCAGTAAATCCTGTGAATGATTTAAGTGCTCCAAGACGCTATCATGTATGAAGGGCACTATATAAATGCAAAGTAATTGTTGAAGCTCCTTGAGACAATTTGAGGTTGTGATAAGGCTCTATATCAAATGCAAACCGCTTTCACACTTCACTCTGGCAATGAAGGTGACACACATCTCCTTTGGCCCATCTCCCTCCCCCAAGCCAAAACAGCTGTGTGTCTGGAGACGGGTGGGAATCATTTCCAAATGTGAGGCTATTGGATTAAGGTAGATGTTAGATTAAATTGGGTTATTCTATTTTATTGGAGCTCCTGAATTCTGATAAAATAAACATTAACCTCTCTCACCTTTATTGTGAGTCTAAACATGCTAAAGCTTGACCCAGCAGAGCCCAATACAGACACTAGGTACCTGAAATGGAAGAGCATTCAGTTTTCTTTATACAACATCCCTTAAATTGATGAGGATTACTAACTGTCAATACTGCAGAGGAATCAAGGTATAATCAAAATGAGATTCGTATTTTGACACAGCACCTACTGCTTAACTTTGAACTTCACAGGCAATCTAGGAATTCTATTCATAGCCAAACATACCATTGAATTAGCCCACAGCAAGATCCCACATGTAGTGAATGACCAATTTATCTTAATGATTTTTGGTCAGACACAGGTACAAGCTCCTTTCTTTTGAATTGTTTCACAAAATCTTTATTGTCCACTTGAACAGGTAGAGAGGACCTTGGTTTGGCATTTCATCCAAAGGACAGCACCACCAACATTGTAGCACTTTCCCAGTGTCGCGCACTGGAGTTGTGGAAGTTAAGGATAAACAAGATCATTTGTAGGGTAGTCCTAGCTGCTCTCAATGGCAAGCTATTTGGTATTGGTTGGTTAGACTCCAGCAACAACAACAAAATTACATTTGTATAGCGCCTTTCACATCGGGAGGACGTCCCAAGGCGCTGGATAGACAGAGTTACCGACCCAAGCTGAGGGTCGGGGTAGGGGAGGGCGGGGGGTGAAGCAGGGAGATTGAAAGCGCGGTCGAAGAGGAGGGTCTTGAGGCCATCGCACACTTAGGGGGTCACCAAGCCTTGGCTCCTGTCAACCTGCGCCTAATACTTTCTGGAATTAAGTAAGCAGGATGTGGAGAGTGCGCACATTTCATTCCAACAATCTTTCTGTGGGATTTCCACAGTGTGTTAGTGTTGGTGGGATGCATGGAAACCCGGTGATGGGTTTCCTCATGTGTCAGACACCTGGTTGACCAAAAAACAAAACTCTGCTCCTGGCTTTATTTGGGAGAACTTCCACAAAACACTTGACTAGAGAAGTTCCAGGCAGCCAGTGTGAAGCTTCCACTGTGGATAAGTATTGCTGCTTGACTTACCTGTAGAACAGTGCATAATCTACTGTGGTGTGGCAGTTCTGAAATGCCCAGGACTTGAGTTTCTGGCACTCCCGGTGAGCGCGGAGTTTAACCTTCACCATGCCCGAGCAAAGCTGTGGCCTCGGCTTCCTCTCGGGTCGGTTGCAGACTTGGTTATTTTGAACCCGCCAAGACTCGGCAAACTGGTCGATGTCAAACTTGAAGTTTCCATCGCCACCGATGAGGTCGTCCCGCTTGTGCCCATTGTAATTCCCACACAAGCCACAAAGTTTTCCCTTCAGCTGAGGAGCAGCAGTGACTTCCACAAAGCTGTCTCCATCCCAAGAGATTGCAATACCTGAATAAAGCACAGAATTTGGCATTTAAAACTAGCGGAAAAGTGCATCTTTTATAACTTATAGGTGTCAACCTGGCTCAGTTGGTAGCACTCTTGCCTCTGAGTCAGTTCACGTCGACACTCAAGCACGCTCAAATCATCCAGGCTGACACTGCATTGCTGGGGTATGCACATTGATGGAGAAGGACATGAGAAAGCTTTTGGAAGGACATGATTTATGGAGTTTGGACATTTCACAATTCTGCATCTTTGTGTGTCTACACCACCAGACAGGTGGCAATTGGATTAAAAGCCAGGAACTCTGACATAAAAACAAAATAATACTAGCTATACAGTATCTATATATAAATATATGCAGCTGTACCTCATCTGAAAGATCACAAGAACGGTATAAAAGAAGTTTTTTGGTCATCAGATGTCAACCTTCCAAAAAAAACAATCCTACCATCTTTAGACTTATATTACAGTATAGATCAGATCACAAGAAAGAGAAAGACAGATTCATGGTTCCAGCACGTCCCTTCAACAGAACACAATGTTTCAGATGCTTATCACCGAATGTACACTTCTATTTTTATTTCATTTTACTCAGATGATGGAACCTCTAACCTCGAGCCGAGAGCCCAGAGTGAGCTACGTCCGGAGTGAGGCGAGGCCAGAGTGTGAGGGAATTTGGTGAGAGTGGGAATTAGGTGCAGAGGGGGAAGTGGGGGCAGGCTATATATCTTTGTATCTATATAAAGTTTGTGAAGATGGTGTGGCAGGTAAACTGCGAGGTCTCTCACATGTGGGAGTCAATGGAGGGCGCCTTAAGTCCGGATGACTTCTTCTGCCGCAAGTGTCTGGAAATCAGAGAGCTCCAGCTGAGAGTAGCTGAGCTGGAATCTCAGGTGGAGACGCTGCGCAGCATTAGGGATGGAGAAAACTTCCTGGACAGCTTTATCCTGGAGCCGGACACTCCCCTGAGTCCCAAGGAAGAAGAATGTAGCAGCGACGGACATGACTGGGTGACAGTCAGGCGGGCAGGCAAGCGTTCCCGAAAGAGAGGGGCTGAAGAATCCCAGACTTTAGCCTTGTCTGACAGGTATGAAATATTGGCAACCTGTGTGGACAAGGAAATCTGCGAGGAAGACGGGCAAACTGACCCCAACACCCCTGTGCAGGAGGTTAAAAATGTAATTCTTATTGGGGATGAGACAGTCGGGAGGACTGATACAGTTTTCTGTAGCCGTAGCAGGGAGACAAGAAGACTCTGTTGTCTTCCTGGGGCCAGGGTGAAGGATGTCACCGCCGGGCTGGAGATAAATTTGAGGCATGAGGGAGAGGATCCAATCGTAATGGTACATATAGGGACCAATGACATTGGTAGGACCAGTAGGGACGAGTTAAGGAGCGAGTTCCGGGAATTGGGAATTAAACTAAGGAATAGAACTTCCAAAGTGATGATATCGGGACTGTTACCTGAGCCAGGAGCTAATTGGTACAGGCAAAAGAAGATCATAGATCTGAATGCCTGGCTAAAAGAGTGGTGCGGAGAGCAGGAATTCCAATTCATGGGCCACTGGCACGAGTATTGGGGAAGATGGGAGCTTTTCCAAAGGAATGGGCTCCACCTAAATAGGGCTGGGACAAATGTCCTGGCTACGCGAATAAATAGGGAGGTAGAAAGGGCTTTAAACTACTAAGGGGGGGGAGGTAAAAACATAGTAAAGTATAGTCCACCACAGTTAAACTTGAGATCAACAAAAGCAAGAGAGCAGATTAACAAGGGAGAAGAGCAAAGTGTGTCAAGCAGGGAAAGGAAGTACAGTGATAGAGTGCTGGTGAATAGGGTTAATAGCCGGAAGTCAGAATTAAGGGCACTATATCTGAATGCACGAAGCATTCGTAACAAGATAGATGAATTAGTTGCACAAATAGAGACAAACCGGTATGATCTAGTAGCCATCACCGAGACATGGTTACAGGGTGATCAGGGATGGGAACTGAATATTCCCGGCTACGTGGTATATAGGAAAGATAGGCGATGTGGTAAACGAGGAGGGGGAGTGGCCCTGCTAATAAAGGATGGGATAAAAACAGTAGAGAGGAAAGATTTTAAATCTGAAAAGCAAGATGTAGAGTCAGTATGGGTAGAGATACGTAACTTCAAGGGGCAGAAAACTATAGTGGGAGTAGTTTATAGACCCCCAAACAGTGGTCAAAGTATCGCTCAAGGTATAAATCAAGAGATTAGTGGAGCATGTAGCAAAGGAAAGACACTAATTGTGGGTGATTTTAACCTGCACATAGACTGGGACAACCAAATTGGGAAAGGTAACATAGAAGAGGAGTTTATAGAATGTATTAGAGATAATTTTCTAGATCAATATGCTGAGGAGCCGACCAGGGAACAAGCCATATTAGACCTTGTTTTGTGTAATGAAACAGGGCTGATCAGCAAACTGGAACTTAAGGCTCCTCTAGGGCAAAGCGATCATAATATGATGGAATTTAGCGTTAAGTTAGAGAGGGAAGTAGTTAAGTCTGAAGCAAAAGTCTTCAATTTAAATCGAGCCAACTTTGCTGGTATGAGAGAGGATTTAGCCAGAATAAACTGGGAGACTAAACTTAAAGATTTGACGGTAGACCAGCAATGGCAGACATTCAAGGAGATAGTGCAAAATTCCCAACGAGCACATATTCCTTTGAGGAATAAGAATGCCATGGGAAAGGTGGTGCAGCCATGGCTAACTAGAGCAGTTAGGGAAAGTATCAAATCAAAAGAAAAAGCCTATAAAACAGCGAAGATGAGTAGTAAACCCGAGGATTGGGAGAACTTTAGGGAACAACAGAGGAGGACCAAAAAATTGATCAAGAGGGAGAAAATAGATTACGAGGGCAAACTAGCAAAGAACATAAAAACAGACTCCAAGAGTTTTTACAAATATATAAAGAGGAAAAGGCTAGCGAGGGTGAATGTGGGTCCATTACAGGCAGAGACCGGAGGAATTATAATAGGGGACAAAGACATGGCAGAGTCATTAAACAAGTATTTTTCTACAGTCTTCACCGTAGAAGACACTGGAAACATACCAAAAATAGAGGACCAAGAAGACAATGTTAGCGAGCAACTTAGGGAGATTAACATTAGTAAAGAGATGGTTCTAGGTAAATTGTCGGGTCTTAAAACCGATAAATCCCCTGGACCGGATGGCCTGCATCCGAGAGTTTTAAAGGAGGTGGCTACTGAGATAGTGGATGGCATGTCTATAATCTTCCAAAAGTCTGTGGATACTGGAAAAGTTCCCATTGATTGGAAGATTGCAAACGTAACTCCACTATTTAAGAAGGGTGGGAGAGAAAATAGGGAAAACTATAGACCAGTTAGTTTGACGTCAGTTGTAGGGAAAATTCTTGAGTCCTTAATAAAAGACGTAGTTATGGGATACCTGGAAGACCATAAAAAGATTAGGCAGAGTCAACATGGCTTTACAAAAGGGAAGTCATGCTTGACTAACCTTTTAGAATTTTTTGAGGATGTATCCAGCAGGTTGGATAAGGGGGAACCAGTAGATGTGGTATATTTGGATTTTAGGAAGGCATTTGACAAGGTGCCACACAAAAGGCTGTTACTCAAGATCAAGGCCCACGGGATTAATGGGAAAATATTAACATGGATAGAAGAGTGGCTATCGGGTAGAAAGCAGAGAGTAGTGATAAACGGATCATTCTCGAATTGGCAGGATGTAACTAGTGGAGTGCCACAAGGATCAGTGCTTGGGCCTCAGCTATTTACCATTTACATCAATGATCTGGACGAGGACATTGAATGTAATGTGTCTAAATTCGCGGATGATACTAAACTAGGTAGCAGAGTGAGCTCTCAGGATGATGCAAAAAGATTGCAACAAGATATAGATAGGCTAGGGGAGTGGGCAAGTAGGTGGCAGATGGAATTCAATGTTAGCAAGTGTGAAATTATTCACCTAGGTAGCAAGAATAAAAGAACAGATTATTTTCTGGAAGGGGAGAAGTTAGATAGTGTTAGTATTCAAAGGGATTTGGGTGTCCTTGTACACCAGTCCCAAAAAGTTAGTTTGCAGGTGCAGCAAGCAACTAAGAAGGCGAACGGCATGTTAGCGTTCATTTCGAAAGGTTTAGAATATAAGAGTAGGGAAGTCTTGCTGCAACTGTATAGGGCTTTGGTGAGACCGCACCTAGAGTATTGTGTGCAGTTTTGGTCTCCTTATTTAAAAAAGGACATACTTGCCCTAGAGGGGGTGCAGCGTAGATTCACTCGGTTAGTTCCTGGGATGAGGGGACTGACCTATGAGGATAGGCTGAATAAACTAGGGCTGTATTCTCTAGAGTACAGAAGAATTAGGGGGATCTTATTGAAACTTATAAGATTCTTAAAGGGCTGGATAAAGTAGACACTGAGGGACTGTTTCCCCTGGTAGGAGAATCTATAACCAGGGGTCACAGTCTTAAAATTAAGGGTCAGCCTCTTAGAACAGAGTTGAGGAAACATTTCTTCACTCAGAGGGTAGTGAACTTATGGAATTCACTACCCCAGAAGGCTGTAGATGCTCAGTCCTTGAACATTTTCAAGGCTGAGACTGATAGATTCTTGAAAAATAGAGGGATTAGGGGATATGGGGATAGGGCAGGTAATCAGAGTTAGGTGAGAAGATCAGCTATGATCTTATTGAATGGCGGGGCAGGCTCGAGGGGCCGAATGGCCTACTCCTGCTGCTAATTCTTATGTTCTTATGTTCTTAAAGACATTGGATGCTGAAATCTTGAGTCTGTTTTTTTTCAGCCTTAATTCGAAAGGATGCTGAGCAGGAAGCATAAATCCCACTACAAGCTTCCCACTCCACACCCCTTTAAACAGCCACAAAGCACAGCGTTAAACTGAAAGAGTTCTCCAGATTGAAGTGAATGAGGTGTGCACTTCACATCTGATATAATTTATATATAATTAATATTTGAATCAATGCACATGGGCAAATAACTGACACTTATTCATTTGGTTTGTAAACCCCCCGCTACCTATCAAATGTGCCAGTGTATTGGTGAAAGTGTTGTCAGATCTCTTGGATTCATAGCTCGCTGTGTTTGTTTAATCCCTGCAACGGGACTTGGGGAATTGGACTATAAATGGTGTAAATTTAGATGAACCTTTCCTTTTTAAGAGTGGGGCAGAGAATGGCCAGTGAGAATGCACATTGACAGATGTTTAGCTGTGTGTGTGAGGCACCACACTGGGTGTAACCCCTGGACTCCTCCAGAATTCTTTGTGGGGTTGTAGAGTTGGCAGCTGGAAGGAAATGCTAAGTGTTTTTTTATTTTACTTTCATCACTTGTTTGTCTGATTTTCACCGTGAGACTTGGCAATCTTTCTCTTTCTCAGTTTATGATGGAACAAGGCACACTATCGAGCATTCACATTTGGAAAGGATACATTTATAGAGATCCATAGGATTCAAAATCGAGAATGAGAGGAAGTAAATCCAGAAACGGTTTTCAGATATATCAAAACAGCAGTGTAAGAGGGCACAATTTCAGGACTGGAAAGAGAAATGTTATGGGAGACACCAAGAGTATTTCTTTACACAGAACGTAATTGCTGGCTGGAATGGGGTTGCTAAAGGTGATGGAGAACAGGACAATGGACTCATTGAAGAAACAGTTTGATGCCATAATGGGAAGCTGCACCATAATGAGGTTACAGACTTCCTTTCTAAGCTGTGAAAAACCTCCAGTACTGAGTGAACACCAAGCCCAAGGGTCAAAGTTGCAGGATTTCTCAACACATTCCATTCCTTACTGAAGGAATGAGGGTAAGATCTGTTCTGAATGACTCCTTCCCCACTTCAAGTTCTGAACTGTGTGGAGCTCAAATCCATTTGAAGATGTAGTGAGAATGGCACTGGGCGGGATCGCTGTGCTTGAAAGAGGAGCGGCTTTTCAGGCGCTAATCACGCTGAACAGCAAAGTTGAGTGAAAAGCATAGAGCATGTGGTAACGTACTTCTCTTCAGATAACTTTTGCCATTTGCTATCATCCCAACAATTGAAACGTGCTTTTATAATGACACAGTTCATGGATACATCAAATTTGCATAATGGAAGAAATTCCCCTTAGGTCTAGAGTCTAGACTAACTCTATTTATGTAGCATTTTAAGAGCATCCAGAAATTGGTAAATTCTTCAATGCAGCATGAATTTTGAAGCCACTCTCTGTAAGATCTTATAAAAACTATGTACAACAAAAGAACAAAATTACATTTATAGCGCGAATTTCACGTTGTGAGGATGTCCCAAGGAGCTGGACAGTCAGGGGTCAGGACCCGAGCATGGGGGAGGGGTGGAGTAGGGGTGAGGGAAGGCAGAGAGGTGGGAGGGTGACTGAAGACACGATCGAAGAGGAGGGTCTTGAGACCGGCCTCGAAGGAGGCAAGGGAGGAAGTGATGCGAAGAGACTGTGGGATGGAGTTCCAGAGTGTAGGGGCAGAGAGGCTGAAAGCCCGGCCACCGATGGTAGGGTGGGTCGGGTGGGAGACATGGAGCAGGCCGGAGCCCGCTGAACGGAGGGAGCGGGCAGGTTGATAAGGAGTCAGCAGATCAGAGAGGTAGGAGGGGGCAAGGCCATGGATGACCTTGAAAGTGAGAACGAGGATCTTGAATTCGATCCTCTGAGGGATGGGGAGCCATTGGAGTCAGGGACGGTGGGAGTGCCGGGGTCGCAGAGCCTTGTGTGCGAGAGCACATGAGCTGCAGAGTTTTGGATGATCTGCAGCTTGTGAAGGGAAGGGTTGGGAGGGCCGATGAGGAGGGAATTTCTATAATTGAGCCTTGATATGACGAATGCGTGGGTGAGGGTTTCGGCAACCTGAGGGGTGAGGTAGTGGCGGAGTCTGGCAATGTTGAGGAGGTGGTGGTAGGCAGTGCCGGTTATATCGTAGATGTGGGAGAGAAAGGACAGTTCAGGGTCAAACAAGGCATCCAGGTCCTGACTGGCTTAGTGAGGTTGAGTCTGCAGCCGTGGAGGCTGATGCTGCCAGCGCCCGAGGTATGGAGGCGCTGGCGCTATCCAATCAGGAGGGCCTCGGTCTTGCTGACATTAAGTTGATATAGAAAATCAACTTGAAAGCTAAGTCTGAATTCAACAATTTACCAATTTCTGGGTACTCTCAAACACTACATGAATAAAGTCAATCTGGACCCAGGTGGAATTTCTCCCCAATAATCCCTGAATTTTTTGCAAAACACACCCAGAAAATACTATCTTGCTGATTCCAAATAATTAGCAGGTAAGGGAGCAAAAACATTTAAAGAATTGGCAGATTCAGAAAACTATAATAGGGTTCAAGAGATAACCTTCATTTAAATGAATTATCCTTGCATTTGATATAGTGCCTTATCTTGTCAAATGTCTCAAAGTATAGTATCTGTGACTGTATGCAAATACACCTGGACCAACAGAAGGGCAACTTGCAGTGTGAGCAGTACAGCTTTGTTACACCATTCTTAGTGTCATTGTACTTGGCATCATCCTCCCTGTAAAACTCCAAAATCATACAGCCCTCTGAAAAAGCAGCTTTTAACCAAGATTTTCCAACACAAAGCCATTCAGTCAAGTATTTTGTTTTATTTGGAAGCCACTTTGAAACATCAAAATGAAAAGCAAATGCTGTGTGTTCTTTGCTTAACTGCACTAACTGTATCCAGCACTTTGTACTGGCACAGAATACCTCCCCCCCCACACACACACAAACACGGACCAGCACACAGTGTTTTATGATCTGTTCTGGGTCTCCTGCTGTTCATGGTATTCAGGCAGTGGGGTTGAAAAAGAGTTTGCTGGGAAAATGGCAGCGCAAAAGTGTCTCAGGCTGTAAAACGAGTCTCCTCCATTTATCCCATTGACCATGTTATATGCCGCTGTAAGTACTCCTTCTGAGACACTTCTTTTTAAGGTTGAAGAGTCCCAATTGATCTGGTTGTTATAAGTAGGATTAGAGTATTTTTTTCACTAATGGGGACCACATCAGCAAAGTTGCTTGAATGGGGTTGGAAATGTGATATTTGGAATCTGGAAATTGCTGTGCTAATAGTGATTCCCAGTTTGCAAGTGAAATCGCAGGAATCTCTACCAGTTCGCAATCAGTGCCAGCCGTTTGCTTTCAGGCCGTCACTGGCCCACGATAATAAAACACAGAAATGTCTGAAAAACAATTGAAGAGCAAAACGATTTCGATTTGGTAGCGATCTTTCCACAGCTCACCTGCTTTTGTAGTTACTTTCATTAAATAGCCCTCCAGGCTGATGGTGAAGTGTTGGTTGTGGTAAGGCAGAGAGATCTTAGCCCCGTTCTTCTTCACAGTCAGATGCTGCATGAGGCTGATAGTGGTGCCACTGGTCACCAGCTCGATGGTTTTCGTCCAAGAGTAAGAGTATGTTCGGCGGGCATCGTTCTGCACCAGCACTTGGAAAGTGGCAGCGGCAGAGCAGTCCTTGGTTAAAACGTACTGGCACGTGCCCTGAAAGTTAAACGCCCGGCCATCAAACGTGTTGTAATGAGGGTCGCCGAAGACAGTGCAAACGCCTGGCTCTGCCAAAGGGGGGAGGGGAAGAAAAGGAAGATTCAGGAATGTTCTCCATGTGTAAAATAGCGACATGTCAAGACAGGTGGATAAATAGTGTTACATTCAAGGAGGAGCAGTACAGATTCAAGATTGTCTCCAAAATCTCCCGAACTGGTGATTAGGAATAATTAGACTGCATTATGGAGATGGAGCAGCTGGTAAGGGAATTCTCATAACAGATCTATTGTAATGCACCTGAAATCAGTCGAGGATTTCCTGTCTGTGCTCTGACAATACGTATCAAAATGTAAACCAGGGAAATGTGTGGAGGGGGAAATATGAACACAAAATGACTATGTTTATACCAGTGTTGCCCCGGATAGAGGCTTCTGAGATACAGTGCAGAAAGTATGGAAACAGTCATTGCCATTAAATCTTACCATTTAAGATTGGTGCAGATTTGTGTGAATCTTCAATTCAGTCTCAATTTGGGAGGCAGTTTTCTACGGTTCTTAAAAATAACTGACTTTCAAATTAAGTCTCAATTTAAGACTTTTTGATTATTCTGTGCCATATTATATACTAAGACAACATGGTCTGGTAGGTTACCACCACCTGATGTTACAGTTCAAGACTAGATAGCGTTTTGGGTGTAAGATGAGACTAAATGTAATGATTACGTGGTGCCAAGTGTAGAAGCGACATGTGAAAGAGGTAATGTTCCACAGTCTTCAAGGTTCAATCAAGAATGAGTCTGAATAAAGAATAGCACAATGACATTTTATCATAACAGAGTGAGGACACAGGGAAGGGGAAGGAACTTGCAGGAGTTTCCTTTAGAGTTTGGAAGGAACAAGAAAGAAATGTTGAGGGAAGCAAAGACCACCATATCAATAAAAATCAGACTGAAACGATTCAGCGTTGGAGAAAGAGAGAGAAGATGCAGGCCAAAGGAAAGGGAAAGGAAGGGCTGTGGAAAGGCTATCAGTAAAAAAAACTCATATGAAAGAGAATGTTGATTGGGAACTAAGTCTCTATGTATTGTTGTGTAGGGGTAATGGCTGTTTCCACACTTTCTTGTGTTCTTATGAATCAATTCTTGCATCATGGCTTCCAAGAACATTTTAGTTTTGCTGGTCTTGTACAAAATTCCATTCACAAAATGGGGTGAGAGCTGTAATGAGGGATTCAATTATATGGCAAGGATTTCAATGTTTCTCTACAGTTTTTATGGAGCTGAGAGGATCCATTTCAGAAGAACGAGAATGTTGGAGTGATTTAGAGCAAGGGAACTCCCATTTCATCACCTTTGCTCCATTGCACTGGTGGTGATGGATTTGCTATATTTACAGTCTGCTCACAGACTGATCGCAAGCCTGAAAGTGCAGCAATTACACAGCAGGGACTGGAGAGGCTGGGTCATCTCCAAGCAAGAAGGAAAAGTGGCTGAGAGGAAGTTCCTTTCTTTACTGTTCAAGCATGCTGCTAGTGCTTTCATTAAGCAGTGGCCATGGACTAAGGGGCAATCCTGCTTTTATCATTTTGTGTGAGCATGTATGTGTGTGCGTGTGTGTGTTGGGGGGCAGGAGCCTTTGCTGTAGTAGAGTCTTGAAACGTGGAGACCTGATCAAAACACAAAATTCCAGTTTATGGACAATTTCCATTTGCTGTCATTTTCTGGAAGCACTGATGTTGATCTGAGCATACATGTCTTGCCAACTTGGCGATGGAGTGTCAGAGTTCAGCTGTACTTCATTTCCCAGTGTGCCCATAAATATTTATTCCACAAGAAGTACATCATGTCAGAAATCCCAGGGAGTTATAAGCCAAGGACCTGCTGAAAGACCAGAGCACTTAACCTTATGGTTCTTCTTTCAATCATTATTAGTTTGTAGTAAAGACCACAAACAAGTCCATCATTGTTTGAGCTGTATTACGACACTCGGCAAATAGGGTGCCATAATCTATCAAAAGTATAAATGTGCACTGTGCGCCTTTTAGGCATTTGCATTGATTAAGGAAAATGTATAGTTCGTGTAATATGAGACAACACTCCAAAGAGAGAAAATGGTTCCCATCTGTTGTCCGGTGGGTTGGATTTCTGCTTTTCTCATTGCAGACTTGTTCCCCACACATTCCATCAGATACTACCTTACTTTGGTTTAGGCTCAGCATTTTTCCTAAGTGGATCCTAACCACAAGACCGCTGTCTTCAAATTCAAGACTGTGCAGATTTTAAGAAAAAATCTTAAAAGGAATAGCAAATTACCACCAGACCTTTCCAGCATTCTGCACAATTTTAAATTTTAAGCTAATGATCTTAAGGCTACAAACAAGAAATTTGGGGTCTCTATTTGTTTGAAATGCAAAAGTTAGGTACAAAATAATGAAAGATAGATGCTTATTTAGAAAAGAGAATGAGTGGATCCATTTCAGTGCATTTCAACTTACTTTCAGTGCAAATTGGACAACATCCATTTCTGTTAATGATCTTGCCCTGTAAGAGAAAACACACTTTTTTAATATAAAGAATATACAGTAATATTCTTTGTGTTATTTATATCGGATAACAGTATGGTTTAGATAGATCTGCCTTGGGTTTGGGGGTTTTAGATCTAATTTGCAGTATTTTTTATCATGATTCTTTAATAAAGAATCCCATTAATCCTTTTCAACCAGGTTTGTGAGTTACCAGGATTCGAAGTTCAAGGCATATTTCAATACACATTTTACCACCGTTTCTGAAATACGCACAGAATAATTTTCAGAATACTGCAATTTTGATCCCAATATTTTCCAATAATAATCCTTGCATTTGATATAGTGCTTTTCACGTCGGGAGGACGTCCCAAAGCGCTTCACAGAACACACTGTAAAGTGAATTGAATGTATATTTGTGGGCAAACGCGGCAGCCAATTGCGCACAGCAATGTCCCACAAACAGTCGTAGATTGAAAATGACCAATTTAATTATTGTTTTTGGTTTTGGAGGGATTATTATTAGGCTCTGTGTGGAGTAAGGAAACTTGCCCAAGGTTTCGCCTTCTGCCTGGAATTGAACTCAGGTCTCTCACTTGCAAAGCGAGTGCTCTAACCACTGAGCTACAGGACTCCACTATCAGAAAAGTGTCTTTCGAAATATCTTCAAACTTCTTTCAGTTGAAGTGCTTTGAGATCTATGGCTTTTTGGACAGAACTAGAGATGGACTTCAATTGTTCTGCAATTAGATAAAGAAGTTCTCTTTATAAAGAGCAAATGGAGAGTAGGGACGTGACAGGAAGGTGAATGATTGTTGCAGTATTCCAAACTAATATAATATATTTGTATTTGGTATAGCACCTATCATGTCGGGAGAATGCCCATAGCTCTTCATGGTATTTATAGTGAAGTGGAATGACTACATTTGTAGGGTGAATGCAGCAGCCAATTTGCGCAAAGCAATTTTCACACCGACAGCCCCGTAAAAAATGACCAATTTTATTTGGGGGATTGCTGATCAGCACATCAAGAGAAACTCCCTTTTCTTCTCAAGTGGTGTGATCTTTAACATCCATCTGAACAGGCAGACGGGACTTCAGTTTAATCTCTTATCCAAAGTAATGTTCAAAGATTAATCTTTTAATGGAATACAATGTTCTCGTCAAGTCTTTGTCTAAATCAGAAAAGTGAGTTAATCCCCCTTTGTGTTACATGCACCATTACACACTGGCAGCACACACTGTCAGATATTACAGTTTAGTAAATAATCCAGCTTTGTGCTGCTCAGCTCGGCTTACTTACCGAAGGGCAAGTCTTTATTGGGGAACACTCCTTCTTGCGACACACTCTTTTTCCCTTTCTACAGGCGCACAAGGTGCAATTAATCGACGACCACATTTCCCCATCCTACAGAGAAGTGGGGGTGAAAATAAATAGAAGATTTCATTTCACAAGCTGCAGATCATCCGAAACTCTGCAGCTCGTGTACTCTCACACACCAGGCTCCGTGACCCCATCACTCCCACCCTCGCCCGACTCCACTGGCTCCCCATTCCCCAGAGGATTGAGTTCAAGATCCTCATCCTCACCTTTAAGGCCAGCCATGGCCTTGCCCCCTCCTACCTCTCTGACCTGCTGACTCCCTACCAACCTGCCCGCTCCCTCCTTTCATCGGGCTCCGGCCTGCTCCATGTCTCCCGCCCGACCTGCCTTACCATCAGCGGCCGGGCTTTCAGCCTCTCTGCCCTCACACTCTGGAATTCCATCCTATGGTCCCTTTGCCTCGCTTCCTCCCTTGCCTCCTTCAAGGCCAGTCTTAAGACTCTTCTCTTCGACCGTGCCTTTGGTTTCCCTCCCACCTCTCTGCCTTCCCTCACCCCTACACCACCCCTCCCTCATGCCCTGACACCTGACTGTTCAGCACTTTGGGACATCCTCCCGACTTGAAAGGCACTCCATAAATGTAATTTTGTTGTTGTTGTTGACTGATTTCTTGTTCTCAATGTTGCTGTGCTGCCAGGTTCTTAGACTGTGAAAGACACCCCAATCTGTACTCAAAGCTCTCACTTTCCAATCAATAATATTAATTGTGATATACAGATTAGATAGATACTTGTTACAATTTTACTTAAAATTATCAAAGCATTTTTCAAAGAACTGTAAAATCTTTTCAATGAACTATGATTCTGTCTGACGGTCGTTCATATTTTACCAGACTTGGCAGCGAGTGTTTCTTATTCTTTGCAATGTGATGACCTGAGAATGTCACCAAAATCAGTAAATTTACTAAGGTTCAGAAAATCACCAACAGCCCACCCCCACCTTACCTGTCTCTTCAACAAGTGTATTGTAAGCTGTCTATAATAATAATACTTGCATTTGATATAAAGCTTTATTTGAAGGTGAACTCAGCACCCAAATTTGTGCCCAGCAGTATGTCACAAACAGACCTGAAGTGAATGACCATTCTTTATCTGGAGAATTGTTGGCTAGGACCCAGAAGAGGTCCCTCTTCCCTTGCCCCACATCCCCTAGTATTGCACAGAAGTGTCAGCCTAGACTGTTTGAGCTCAAAATCCTAACACGGGTCTTGAATCTACAACTTTCTGAGTCAGAGCCCACAGTGTACCAACTAAGCCAGACTGACATTCTGTTTGCTTTGTGCCATCTATGTTCGACGGCTGAAAAGCAGTCAAAAATTAGCCTGTTGAACATCTCTGACGTGCTGATACACACCCTGTACAGTTTGTTACCGGCCCGACAATATTTGATTTCTTCAATGGGGATGTATGAAACACACTCCTCGCAGCAGAGATCATTATACTTGCAGCTCCCAACCTGCAAACACTCCTTCCTGCACACCACTGTGGAATCCTTGATAGAAAAGAAAGGTCATTTGTCAATTACATCTTTAGGTAAATTTTTATTCTTCTCCCTCCACATAATGATGAGGACTAACAATAAAATGGCAGCTACCTTGCAATGGAGCGCAGTTTATGCAATAGTAATCCTTGTATTTGATATCACACTTCATCATGTTGTCGACACATGTCAAAGTGCTTCACAGGATTCATCGTAATGTGTAGTGACTCTGTATTTGTAGGCAAAGGCAGCAGCCAATGTGCACATAGTAATGCCCCACAAACGATCATGAAGTGAAAAATGAACATAACTATGGGAATGTTGGCCAGGATATCAGGAGAAACTGCCTTCTGTTTTCAAATAGTTCCACGGGATCACCTGAAGAGGCAAATGGGGTCTTTAGTGTTTCATTCGAAGGATGGCACCTCCAGTAATGTAGGGTTCACCCAACACTGCATTGAAGTTTCAGCCGAGACTTTGAGCTCAAAGTTCCAAAGAGGGGATTGAGGCCACAACCTTCTGACTCAGAGGTGAAAGTGCTACCGTCTGAGGCAGGTTGAAGTTATGATGTGCTCTTTCTAGCCTCAAAACACCAGGAACGCCACCAATTTCCAAATCAATCCCACTGAATGTGGAGAAAATGAATGAGAGAATAAGTGGGGAGAGAGATGGCCAGGGAAATGTGGGATGACACAGTGCAACCTGCTTATACATAGTTCTTTATGCATTCCACACATGCATACTTTGGAAACTGCCAACCAAGTGCCTACTACTAGACAGGAGGTGCAAGTGCGTGAGAAAATACTTACCTTACAGATACACTTAGTGCAGTTATCAAATTGGAACAGAGCTCCATTTTCATAAACTTCACTGTGAAACAAACAGCTTCCCAGAGGCAGGTCAAACACCCTTCGCTGGCCTGTAGAGTTAGCCAGAGGTGACTACATCAGTTCAACAATTCAGAAGGAATACTTGCAAATATTATACCATTCTAGGCACCAAGAAGTCCAGGGCAAGTATATTCAAATGGCTATGGAGTTTTATTATAATTTATTTGTTTCTCATTCAAAGTTTCATTTTGTATGAAAATGACAATTATAATGTGCAGAGGGCTTGAAATTCCACCTAGTTTTACTCTGTCAGATCATTTTGTCTTCAAATTTAAGATCATGCGCTCTCTTGGTGACATCATCCGCAGACACGGGGTCAATTTCCACATATATGCGGATGACACCCAACTCTATCTCTCTGCCTCCACCCTTGTCTCCAGGACCACTGCTGTCCTGATAGAATATCTGTTAGATATTATGTCCTGGATGTGAGCTAACTTTCTACGTTGAACGTCAACAAGCTCTCCTGATTGGCTGCCTCAGCACCTCAGGTACTGACAGCATCACCATCCATGATGAATCCAGAACTCTCCAGAACTCTGCAGCTCGTGTCCTCTCCTGCACCAGGCTCCATGACCCCATCACCCCCACTCTTGCCCAGCTCCATTGGCTTCCCAACCCCAGAGAATAGAGTTCAAAATCCTCATCGTCACCTTCAAGGCCTTCCGTGGCCTTGTTCCTTCCTACCTCTGTGACCTACTGACCCCATATCAACCTGTCCGCTCCTTCCACTCAGCAAACTGTGGCCTGCTGCACATCCCCCGCCAGGCCCACCCACCATCAGTGGTCGGACCTTCAGCCTCCCTGCCCACACCCTTTGGAACTTCATCCCACAGTCCCTTCATCTCGCTCCCTCCCTTAGCTCCTTCAAGGCACTTCTCAAGACCTTCCTCTTTGACCATGCCTTCGGCCACCCTCTTACTGTCTCTGCCCCCCACCCTCCCAGATCCCAACACCCCCCTCCTCGGGTCTAAATCACTGTCTGTCCAGCAGCTTGGGACTTCCTCCTGACGTGAAAAGACACTGTACAAATGTTATTTTCTATTGTATTGTATCATGCAAAATTGTGCATAGTTCTTCAATTCAATTTCAATTCAATTTTAATTTGGAATTTGGTTTGAAAAGAGCTGGCTGCTAAATTAAAACTGAATTTATTTTTGCAATTCTACACAATCACAATCCTCCTCCACTATTCACAAAAATTCAACTCATCCAAAATTCCGCCGCCCGCACCCTCACCCGGATTAAACTCCGCACCCCGATTACCCCAGTCCTTGCCAAACTCCATTGGCTTCCATTCACAGAACGGATTGACTTCAAGATCCTCACTATAGTGTTTAAATCCCTCCATGCCTTGGCAGCTCAGCTCCCCTATCTCTCCAACCTCCTCCCTCCTCACAGCAGTACCCGCTGCCTCCGCTCTACTGGCTCCGGCCTCCTCCTTGTCCCTGAATTCCTCCGTTCCACCATCGGCGCCCGTGCCTTTAGCCACTACAACCCAAAGCTATGGAATTCCTTCCCTCAATCCCTTTGCCTTGCCCTCCCTTTCCCCATTTTCAGGTTGCGCCTGAAGACCTATCTCTTTGAGTGTGCCTATGGTCACCTTCCCCCTCCCCCTGGCTTGGCATCGGGCTCCACCATTGTTAAGTGCTCTGGGACGTCGCCCAGTGTGGCGGGTGCTATATAAATGCAGGTTGTTGTTGTTGTAAAGTCTCAGACTAGGTGGAATTTCAGGTCCACAATGTTCAAAATGATAAAAAGTAATTTCCTGCCGTGAAATGTAAATTTGTATTGTGTTGTAAAATGACACAGCAACTATAATTTGAATACTCAGTTAAATGTAGATCTACGCTATTACTTGTTCAAAAATATCAGTGCAGGTGCACAAACACCTGATTCAGTTTCAATAAACTAATCTGTTTTATTCTGAAAGATCTTCATGTAGTGCAGAGGTCACATCCACTTACCCAAGCACTGGGGGCAGCATTTTCCAGGAGGCACTTGGCTAAGATGCTGAGGGCAGGAGAGGATTGGGCACAGTTCCCGGACACATTGTAATCTGCTTTCCTGTAACGCAAAACTACAGAATCAGTTAGCACTTTTATCCCAGTTAATGCAAATTGACATCCAACTTTCAAAGCAGGATTGAAAGATTATCAGGGGATTCTTCAGGATATTTGTGTGGTGTTTCGCTGCACCTGTTTAATAAGCCACTAATGCTGCTTTTATGTTATGACTTTAACTCCAGAGACAAAGCCAGCTTTACACAATACTTGGAATGAAAAATTTCCACATTTCCAGGTGCTGAATTTGGTGGAACTCCTTTTGGAGCCAAGTCTCCTCATTCCCTCCTGAAGGCACGGTCAAAAGGGAAGGTTTTGAGACGAGCCTTGAACATCCTTTTATTCCTTCCGTTAGATACACCTTATCACTCTAAAGCATCTAAAAGCATTTGACACACAAGGTTGAAAAATGCAGTGGGTGATGTGATAATTATCACCAGTGATAAAAAAGATTCAAGAGAACCTGCTCCTGTGCTTAATCGTAAACAGGGAGTCAGATTCACTTTTCAATCCAACATTCTTGTAATACTTTCATTTGATATAACACCTTATCCCATTAAACTGTCTCAAAACATTTTGTACAATATAGTGGTTATGTTAGGTGAACAAATGTACTAGCTATTCTTCATCAACAGAACCCACAGTTTTTGATCAGAAGGACAGGAAAAATGACCTCCCTGCTTTTAAAGAGAGAACTTGCAATTTTATAGCGTTTTATCACATCAAACTGTTTCAAAACACTTCACAAGTAACTACTGTGGTTATAATTTATGTAACAAACTGAGCAGCATTAGAAAACAACAGGACCCCCAAAACAGCGATGAGATGAATGGCTCATTAACCTGGAGAATAATTGTACAGAACACTGAAAGAAACTCCCTTCTCTCTGTTCAAATAGCATCATTGGATCATTAACATCCTGATAATTGGGCAGGACCTCGGTTTGATGTCTCATTCAAATGACGATATCTACTAACAATGCCACTCCCTTAGTGTAGTTCAAGTCCCAGTGTGCACCTTAAACCCACAACCTCCTGACACAGAAATGAGGATTCTATCAAGTAAGCCAAGTTGCAGGGTCAGAAAAAAATATTTTATTTATAATAATAATCCTTGCATTTGTTATAGCACTTTTCATGTCTTCTTGACGTCTCAAAGCGCTTCACAGAATAGACTGTAAAATGAATTGACCGTATATTTGTGGGTGAAATGCGGCAGCCAATTGCGCACAGCAGTGTCCCACAAACAGTCGTGGATTGAAAATGATCAATTTATTATTGTTTTTGTTTTTGGAGGGATTATTATTAGGCGTGTGGAGTAAGGAAACTTGCCCCAAGGTTTCACCCTGCCTGGAATTGAACCCAGTTATGCTGTGAGCAATCTTTTGAAGCTGGTGGAAAAACATTTGATTCCAGGTGTATTCGTTTTAGATGACTGTCACTATTCTCCCTCTTCAAATGTTTATCTAATTCCTTTTTATTTTGCCCTGATCGATAGCCACATAATAGCCAAATAATTCCAACATCAGTTCCTCCATCAGTCAGCACTCCTTCATTTCTTCAGTGTAACCTGGCTTTGCCAGGTACATTTGTAACGGTGTTCAGAGGCAGAACTTGTGATGTGCCAGATATCCAATAGAGTATAGGGATGTGGTTAAAAGGACATCTGTCCTGAGGCAGAAGGCTTTCCCAGAGTAAAATCATACAACACTACAGCACAGAAATAGGCCATTCAACCCGTCAAGGCTGAACCTGTCTTTGTTCCACATCACTTACCTATCCTAATTTTACTCTCTTGTGCCCTCCTTCAACAGTAAAATGTAACCCTTTAATATTCTTCTTTCTCAAGTATCTGTACAATTCTCCTCCAAAATAATTTTTAAAGATTTTTACCTGCAAAGCTTAAAATCATGAAATATTTTATATTGTTTTCAATTCAACAAAGCTATTATTTTGAATGTAAAATGCAGACTAGACTGACTGAAGCCAAGCTGGCTGTTCTGATGTTCACATTTTCTTTGTCTCCAAGGAGTATTCTCCAGGAACAAGTTATCTGTTCTCAGCATTTTTTTCTTTGTGTGTGGCATTTCTTTAGGGGAGGTCTCTGTCAACAGTTCTCACTTCGAACCCCAATGCAAAGCATTTTTTTCCAGGTGGACTGCTGCTCACATGTGAAAGTTTGGCCCTTTTCCCAAGGTTGCGCCAAATATTTTTCTCCCATCAGCAGCTTCTGATACGAAAAACACACACAATTTGAGCAAATAAAGCCATAGTAGTGGCAATAAAATAGGGAAAGACAAGAGTCAGTGTAATGGAGATAGAGCTTGGGACCACTGGTGACAGACAGTTGACTATCAGAGGCAAAACTCCCTAGATATGGCGGATATTCATTGAGGGAAAAAGAAATGCTCTTATCATTTCTCTTCCCATTTTATTTAATCTCTTGAGGAATGAAACACTGAATTTCAATTTTAATCTGAATATAAAGCTGGTATCCAAGTGGGTTTTAAGGAGTCAAAAGATTAACATTATTTACTTCTGACCTAGTTTAGAATAACTGGTCTATATTTTCCTGGTTTTATCTCATTTATTTTTTTGAATGGAATGAGATGAACTGCTCTCAGGTGCCCAGAGACATTCCCTGTATTTAAGGAATAGCTGAACATGTTTACAACACACTGCATTTTAGTGGCTAAACATTAATTTATCATTGGCAGTCCAGTGACTAAGTATCCATTCTTATGACGGTCTAATGACAGCAATGCATCAGACTGTAAACAGCTTGGTAGAAGGTGAGCTCCTGATGTCTTGCTATTTACTGAGATCTGCAATCTGTCTCGTAATTCTCTGCAAATCATTGTTTCAGGGCTAAATATCGTTTGCCCCAAGACCACAATCAGACACACAAAACATTATCAAAAGATACACAGCTCACTATCCATGGCCATTTAGCCACTGGGATCTGGTGCACAGATCAATAACAACTTGCATTTGTATAATACCTTTCACAAAGCATAAGATCAAAAATCACTTTATAGAAATAAGTCAGAATCTGAGCAAGTTGGGAAGTACAGAGGGGGGATGGATGGAAGTGACTGAAAGCACAACTTTTAGAATGGTTTAAAAAAAAGGGTGCGAAGGTATGAGGTTCTGGAAAGGAGTTCCGTAAAACAGGGTATAGTGACTGAAATCACAACCCAAAGGTCACAATCACTCCACCCACAAATGGACATATACTAAGGGGTGCCATTCAACATACTGCCAGGATGGTCACTTAATACCTAACAGTAATCAGTGCCCTTAATCCCTATAGTCCTGATACAACCATTCAGTGGAAAAAAATAACTTTGTGACTAAGAAACATCTGGCACAAAATAATATTAATTTTGATTTATACCAACATTATTTTGTACATTTCTATCTGGGTACACAAGTACTGTTTATGTTGTTGCAATATAGACAGAGTTCATTATGCCAAGTGTGCTCCATATAGGTGGCTGTAGATGGTTGGGACTGGAATCCTTCTGGCAGTTCTTATGAAGCAGACAGTTCCCATTACAATTTGAAAAAGACCTAAGCTGGCTCAGTGAAATATTTTCACAAATATTGACTCACTGAACTTACAACCTTCATAAAGACCTTGAACATAAAAAAACTACGTACAGGGTTAGAGAGATGCTATGTTCAGCCAAACATTGAGAAAAGCTTTCGCTTTATTCACAAACAATTGGCACAATGATGTCAAAATGTCACTGTGTTACATTGCCATTCCAGCTGTTTTCCCTCTGCAAATTAAAAACAAAGGATTGCCAAACCTTATTGTTTAAGGATAGTGTGCCTTTAAACACAGAGAAGTTCTACATTCCATGCAATTGTCAATCAACAAAATTATTTTAAAGTAACAGAATTTGGGAAAAGCATTTAAGACATATCATTGAAATAATTACCATTTTTTTCTGGTACAAACATTTCCACTTTCTTAAGAGTTGAATCCTTAAATGGTCCTCATTAATTGGTGGAGTGAGCAGCTCTATTTTCCTATTGGTATTTGGTCTTTTCTGAAGCCTTTAACAACAGCATTTCCCCCCAACAACCAATGGCTGATAGTCATTTTCAACAATAGACAGCATTTCACCAAATACACAGGCGATCAACAGGAGCCAGAGCATCAGCATGGAGGAAGCTACAGTGTACATCGCTGTGTTCTTGGAAACAATCTTTCTCCACCTTCTTAAAATGCAAGCCTCAAAATAAAGCTGAGCAAGAGAATAAACTAACTCAATTGACCATCTCAACTAACAATTACACATTAGAAAACTCAGTCTATGCGACTTGCCTTTCCCTGCGACCACTGTATAACTGTAAAGCACCCCTTCACCATGACATGGCCCCTTTAAGGTTCTTTGACTAAATGCAGTGGTAAATTCAGAGAGCGATCCTCGCCCGCGGACTTTGACTCTGCAGCGAGTAAACCACTAGTACAAATTACGCAGACCAAGGAGCACTCGCGGCCCACCTCCGTCTCACCTGTGGCACTCAACAGACATCCGGCTCATTGGGCGTCCAGTCACAGCCCGTCAGCTCTGGGATGTTGCTGGAGCTGAGAGGAGAGAGGGAGAGACAGAGATGGGATTGTTGTCCTCAACAAAAATAGCAGAGTATCCTCGTTCTAACGTCCTACACAAAGGCAAGAATTCTACGCACCATTACCTTCTTGTTAAAGATATTCCAGCTTTACAAATTCTGCCACAAACAAACAGTAAGATGATGTTTAAACATCTCACATTGACATACTATGCCTAAAGGAGGGAGGGGGCGGGGGGAAGAGGTAAGAGCCCAAATGTTGCCTATGCACTTCTTGCCTTCAGCGGAGATGCCTTTAGTGAGGGGGCAATTGTAGGGATTTTATTGACCGCAGTGACTTGTGGTAATCCAGTTTATCAGTCTTCTAGTTTAGAGAAGAAACATATTCTGAAGCATCCCCAATGTGGTGCCCAAGAAAGGG